TGACTCCCCAGAGTTATGCATTATTAAAGCTGATTAAATATTTAATGATAACGTATTGTGATACCGTGTTGTGATACCGTGTTGGTATGGTGGGAAAAGGCATGTATGGTGAGCACCGATGTGACTCCAGCAGTGACACTGATTACGTTACATTAGCAGAAGCAGCGACATCATCTATGCTTTAAATATTAGTCATCATTAGTAATCATTTTCCTTCATTGTGGAGTTGCCAAAGGAAATCATGACCTCATATAATGTCTTTAGACAGCCTTGAGTATAAAAACAAGGTTATTTCGAGTCAGTGCCGACCCTTATATGGATTACATGCATTTAAATTGATTTATTCAGGTAAAGTGTTTAATGATTTTAATGTAACTCAAATTATTGAGTTAATTCACCTCAATTCTATTTGAGGCAAAGTGNGACCTTCTTGCTGCGAGGTGCTAACCACCGAGTCACCCTGCAGCCCTGATGTTGAAATCACTTTTGTGAATTTATGATTTACATATTTTAAATGCATTGAATGTTAAAGTTGTTCTAGGTTTTATTAGAACATAAATTGGTACTTTAATTGGAAAAGTAAATAAAGTCTCACCTAATTAATAAATAGAATATTTATTGTGACATAATGAGATGTTGCTTCTTGATCCAAACAAAAACTAACTTTGGTCAAAATGTTTGGAGGAAAACGTCTTCACAGAATTTAGTCAAATCAACTGATTTTTAGGTTATTTAGTGTTGATATATGAGTTTTGCTAATACGGAGTCAATTAAACTTAAAGATACAACATTTTTATTTTAAGATCACTTCATAAGATAAAGACGTGCTCCTGCAGCTTGAGACGTTTTAAGATGATGAGTTGAATAAATGAACAGCTGAGAGTTCATGTGACTCGTTGAATTATGTTTAAAGGAAACAAAACTAGCGTACAAGTGCACATCCAGGGATGCTCTGTTAGACAGTTAAAACTCTCCAGAGACTCTTCTGTGGTTTGAGAAAAGAGAAATGGTGGAAACTTGCCCTGTCTTCAATGCATGTTAATGGAAGTCGTGGTTGTTTCTTTTCATAATATTCAAAACAGTTCTAACAATGACAAAAGCTACAAGGAACAAGGAAAGCACATCCGTATTTAATCATTTTCTGTGTGACTAATCGATTTCACGTAATTTAACTCGGCTAGTTTTACACTTTTACAACTCATAAGAAATCATTGAGCTAATTAGTCACCTGAAGTGCAGCTAACTTCCAGCAGAATGAATCTAAATGATTTACAGAAGCATCAGCTTTAAGCAGACACAGTCACTCATTTACATAAAGTGATTTAATTATTCTCCACACTTCCTCCTTCGCTGGAAACAAATCTGCAGGATTAAGATGCTTCGGGTTATTGTATGTCATAAGACCGGTTAAGTTCTCGCAGCAAACTAACCATGTGGGCTTTGTTTTGCTCTAGCTGGGTCAACATACAGAGAAACCAGATGGAGATATAATTCACAGCATCTTTCAAAAACAGTCACAGACACACACTGTAGAAAGAAGCTGTTGTTTGTTTCTATTCTTTTGATGAAATCTCTTGAAGCTGACCGAACCACTACTGGATTTTTCCTTATCTGGACTTCTGAATTAGTCAGATACGCCTTCAGTTTCCTGTTGAGTATCTTATTTAAAGGAAACAGGGCAGTGGTTCAGCATCATATTGAAACCTGGCAGAATAGGCATGTTTCATTCTGGCTGACGTTCTTTCGCTTTATTTTTGATGTGTGCACTAATGCTGATATGATTTGTGCATATTTTCTTGGGAAACAAAACGCCCCATCAGTCTCATATAGAAAGGAGGTCATGAACAAATAAAATTATAGAATAAGTATTCACAAGGCTCAGTGTGTGAAAATGCTCCATCAAATTATTCTACAGCTGAGGAAAACAAAGGTGAGTGAAATGCAAGTCATCCAGTGTTTCTCAAGGCAGCCGTATTACAGGGTTTTGCAACATGCTGTTCAGACTGAATTCCT